GCGGGGCACACCGCTGGCACAAAGCGAGCCGCCTGCGGGCTGAGCAGCACCGGAAAGGGGTACTTCGCGAAGGGAAAGAGGTACATCAGGCGGAGGCGGTCAGCGTAGGCGGCCTCGCCCGCGAGAATGTCCCGTGTGGCACGCAGAAAGCGCGCCCGCTTGGTGGTCGCCGGAATGCTCCGCTCCGAGGAGATCATCTGCTCGCGGTGGTACTCCACGTGCTGCTCGGCGCTGAGAATCTGCCGCCGGGGCTGCTGCGTCTCCAGGCGGAGGATGGTGTCGGTGATGAGCAGCGTGTCGGTCAGCTTCAGCTTGAAGGAGTCTGCAAACACAAACGGAGAAATTAAATACAATTCAAGTACACAAACTGTACTGCTTTCCACCACCCCACGTTACTCACCGACTGCCCGCTCCAAAAATGCCGGGTCGGCGCAGAGGCCAATCAGGCGGTGGGGGAAAAAGTTGAGCACCAGCAGGTAGTAGGTGATGTTGTAGACGTGGTACGGGTACAGCTGACTCTCCTCCGAGGCCACCAGGTAGTCCTCCAGGGCCTTCAGCTTGAAGTTGGGGCAGACGAAGTAGACGTTGGCCAGGCAGAAGAGCACCCGCTCGATGTCCTTGATGCGGAAGCCCTCCAGCGNCAGCTTGAAGTTGGGGCAGACGAAGTAGACGTTGGCCAGGCAGAAGAGCACCCGCTCGATGTCCTTGATGCGGAAGCCCTCCAGCGAGCCGATCATTCGATCGAAGATGGTCTTGTAGAGGCGGCGGCAGTTCTGCAGGTACGCCGAGTTCAGCAGCAGAATGAGGTGCGTCAGGCAGATGTTCGAGTCGAGGAGAGCGCCTGAGTGGTGGGCGCAGATGCGGTCGACCAGCGTCCGGACGGGCTCGCGCAGCGTCCGCGCGTCAAACTCCGCCGTCTCCAGGCTGAAGCGAATCAGCTTCAGGGCGGAGGCGACGGCAATGGTGCTGGTGAAGGCAGTAGGTGGTCCACGTGTTGGAGGGCTGCTATTTGAAGGTGATGATGATGAAGATGACAATTCGTCAGTTCTGTCTCTGCTACCAAACTCCGCCGCCTCAACGCTCTCAAACTGTTCACTGCAGAGGGCGATGAACCGACCTAGAAGGTGCTGTGGCATGCGGGTTTTTGTCTTGAAGAAGCCCATCGCCACCACTGAAAGCTCATCTAGGCTGAGGCTGGCTGCGGCCGCCTCATCGAGGTAGGCGGAGACGGCGGTCACCAGTGAGTTCACCTGCGACGGCTCCACCGAGCGGCTGAGGTTGAGCGCAAAGGTGAGGTGCATCAGTGAAACCTTCCGGTCATGAGCCTCCGTTTCAGAAGTGGATTCAATTTGAAGCTGCTGCTGTTGTTCAGTCGACAACTGCAGCAGCCGCCGAAGGAGCGCTCGATTGAAGGCGACGTCCTTTGCGAGGCCCATTTCGAACCAGAGTCCGGAGATGGCAAGAAGCTCGTAAAGTGTAGAGGAAGAAGAGGAGGAGGAGGAGGAACTTGATGATAGTGAGGTGTTGGCTAGCAGATTCACCGTCGCGCCGTCCAGTGCCTGCCAGACGGAGCAAAAGGCCGACTGGTAGAAGATGCGCTCCCAGTCGCGCTCATCGGCGCAGAAGGGAATCACGCCGAGTAGGTACTTCTGAAAGCGAATCACCTCTGCGGCGTTCATACTGTGAATCTGCGCCTTCAGCGACTCGAGAGCGTCCTTTTGGAAACCGGACTCTGCTGTCTGTTGTTCTGGCTCAAAGATGAGCTCCGCCAGATTGGCCGGCCAGAATGGCTGCCCCGAGGAAGTTCCGGCGCTCGCCAGAACGGCGCCCACCGTGCGTTCGTACTCCGGCGAAGCCTTCAAGACGTTGTAGGCAAAAAGGTTCTCGTACTCGACGAACTTCAGATTGTTCACTGGCCGCTGGAAGTTGATTTCATTGTTCTGCAGCTTTGACTTGACCTGGTCGTAGTACTGCTCCAAGTTGAGCTCTGCTGCAGCTTCTCCTGCTGTTGTTGATGTTGATGATGATGATGATGGTCCATGCTCATTGTTTATCTGATGATTAAACTTGTGGTTGACAGTACAGAAGTGTGCTCCTCCGAGGGGGGAGTAGTTGTTGTTGTTGTTTATATTCTGTCCACCAATGAACGCATAGTTGGAACGGAGGAGATGAGGTTGCTGCTGTTGGAGGAGGTAGTTCTGCGAGTTGTTGTGGCGGTTGTACAACAGCTGTACGCGATTATAAAGCGGGTCAAAGGACCGCGGCAGGTGCGGCGCCAGTCGAGGCAGTGGAAGCATCCTTCCTGGTGCTCAGTGGTAATCTTGCACAAAATTGGAAATGGATCCAGAAGGTACTCCCAGAGAAGAAGATTGTTTATTTATTTGGTGGTTGGAGAAGTGGGCCGCCAGCGTGATGCCCGTGATGCAATGCCTGCCTGCTTCTGCCTGCCTTGGCAGTGCTTCAGAGGGCAGCACCGTGATGCGCTGCCGATCGGCGGCAACAGTCCTGTGCGGAGAAAACATCTGATCGGGCAGAGGCAGGCGAACGTAAACACGTGCAGACCACCAAAGTACAGTCGTACTACAGCGGCAGGCGACGAGGACTACCAGCCAGAGCGTCACCTCAGCCTTGACACCGGCAATGGACACTTGAAGAGCATAATATATCGTCACCTGAATTCCACTACCACCACCACCTCCGCCGCCACCACCACCATGATGGTCTTTGTCCTGCGAAGACTCACCTTCAGATCGACCCCGACTCTCCTGAAGAACTGCTGTGGTGGTGGTCCGCATCAGCGACAGCCGTTTAGAAATCTCTCTCAGCAGCAGCAGCAGCAAAAGTACCGAATTGCCGTCATTGGCAGCGGACCGGCGGGATTCTACACCACACAGCAGTTGCTCAAGGTGACTACTTTAGTCTCTTTCTTTCCTACTCATTCTTTCAACATCCTAATTTGAACTTTCAGAATCACAATGTCTCTGTGGACATTTACGAAAAGTTCCCCGTGCCTTTTGGGCTGGTGCGCTTCGGTGTGGCGCCTGATCATCAGGAAGTGAAGGTATCTTTCAGTCGTTGTAGTTGCTGTGTTGCTGCTACAGGCTAATCATCCTAATGACTTCCTCTCACTCTTCACCAGAACGTCATCAACTCCTTCACCAAGGTGGCAATGAACGAGCGGACGCGATTCATTGGCAACATCAACATTGGCGGCGGCGATGTCGGCGGCAGCGGCTGCGATGTGACGCTCGCCGAGCTTCGCCAGGCCTACCACGCCGTCGTCCTCTGCTACGGCTCCTCCCAGGACGCTCTGCTGGGCATTCCCGGCGAGTCTGAGCACCGGAACGTCATCTCCGCTCGCCGCTTCGTCGGCTGGTACAACGGCATTCCCGCGGACCGCGATCTGGACGTGCAGCTGGACAGCGACACCGAGACGGCCGTCATCATCGGCCAGGGCAACGTCGCCCTCGACTGTGCTCGCATTCTGCTGCTCTCCCGAGAGTGCCTCAAGCGGACTGACATCACCCGGCACGCCTACCGCCGACTGGCCGACAGCCGCGTCCGCCGGGTGATCATCATTGGCCGCCGGGGGCCGATGCAGGCCGCCTACAAGATCAAGGAGTTCAGAGAGCTGACGAAGATGGAGGACTGCCGGCTGCGCATTGAGCTCAGTGGACAGCAGGAGCGGGAGGCGCTCAGCTTCAGTGACGAGCTTCTGGTAAGGATATTTTAGACAAACAAACAAACAAACAAACACTAACCCAATATNAGTTCAGAGAGCTGACGAAGATGGAGGACTGCCGGCTGCGCATTGAGCTCAGTGGACAGCAGGAGCGGGAGGCGCTCAGCTTCAGTGACGAGCTCCTGGTAAGGATATTTTAGGCAAACAAACAAACAAACAAACACTAACCCAATACCATCATCCACTAAACAGAACTCACTGCCAAGGCCGCGAAGACGCTTCGCTGAGCTGTACAAGAGGATCATCGAAGAGGAAGAGACAGCCGGCCACCGGAATAAGAGCTACCAGAAGGAGTGCATCCTGCGCTTCTTTCAGTCTCCCGTGGAGATTCTCGGCTCCAGGAGCAGGGATGGATCGCCCTCTACCTCCGTCTCGGGCATTCGTCTGAAGCGAAACCTGCTCAGCGACTACATCTCAGAGGACGCCAAAGTGGTGGGTGAAGGGGAAGGGGCAGCGCTGGAGGAGTTGCCCTGTGGCCTGCTCATTCGCAGCATCGGCTACCGCAGCACAGCGCTCGACGACCGGCTGCCCTTTGACGCCCGGCGCGGTGTGATTCGCAACGACTGCGGCCGCGTGGAGGACTCGCCCGGGCTGTACTGCTCCGGCTGGGCAGCCTTTGGCGCCACCGGCGTCATCCTCAACACCATGAACGCCAGCTTTGAGGTGGGCAAGAACATTCTCGCCGACCTCGAGGCAGGTCGGCTGCAGGTGGCGGCGTCCAGTGGTGAGCGGACCGGTTTCGAGCGGATAGAGCCGCTGCTGAGGGCGCGCGGCGCCAACGTCGTCGATTTTGTCGACTGGACGGCCATCGACGAGTACGAGCGACAGCAGGGACGGAAGGAGGGCAAGCCACGCGAGAAGGTCGTCAGCGTCGATGAGATTCTCAAGCTGAAGGCGGAGAAGACGGCCTCGAAGAAGGGCAAGGACAGAAGGGGTGGTGAGAGTGACGACGAGACGCCGCTCCGGTGATTGCTGATACACACCTTCTCTAGCTGTTTCCCACTGCAATTGTTGATTCCTTGTTGCAATAATAAACTCTTCCCTTCTCCCCCTTATCTTTGGTGTCTCGTTTGTGACCAAGGTCTGACATTGGTNTAGCTGTTTCCCACTGCAATTGTTGATTCCTTGTTGCAATAATAAACTCTTCCCTTCAACCCCATTTATCTTTGGTGTCTCGTCTGACATTGGTCAAAAAGCGATAAAACAGTGCGATTAAAAAGTTTTAATCTGCTGCAAAATGCAGAATAAATTTTAAAAATAAAATGTAAAGTTAAAAATAAAAACAATAACAACCAAATCAGAAGAACTACTTCTTCTTGGAGCCGGACGGAGCAGAGGAAGCCCCGGCAGTAGAGGCCTTGGTTGAGCTGGACTTGCTTGCGCCCTCAGCCGAGCCAGCACCTTGAATGTGCAAGAATGGCTGCGAAGGAGATCCGGCCGAAGCTGGATAGGCAGCTGCCAAGCTGGACACTTGAACGGAGCTGGGAAAAATAAAAACCTCCTGGTTCTGCACAGTCACCAGAGACTGGAGGGCGCCAGCACCACCTGCGGCCTGCAGCTGGGCCAAGAGGGCAGGAGGAATGGTGAAGACATTCTGCACGACGATGATGGTCGGGCGGAAGATGATGGTGTTTGGAGCAGTGCTTTCGGGAGCAGTAGCATCAGCGGCGCGAGGACTGACTGAAGGGGCAGCAGCAGAAGAGGGTTTAGGGGAAACCACTTCAGAACCAACTTTAGGCAGCACGCTTGGTTCCCGCTCAGAGGGTTCACGGAGTAGCAGATCAGAAGTAAGGGCAGACTGCTCTCTGGCAGAGGGCTTAATTGATTGGGTAAAAAATTGGTAAAAGTTAGACTGGTAGTTTAAAAAGTTAGAAAACACAAACCTCACGACTAGGCACAGAGGGCCCACCCGTAGTCTTGGAAGGATCACGCATTGAAGCCTGTTAAAAAGTTAAAAAATGTAAAAAAAGTAGGCAGTTATGGTCACAAATTAAAACATACTTCTTTTCCAATGCCAGAAACGCCAGTAGTTTTCGAAGGCTGCAATTGCAAAAAAAGTTAGTAAACGTCAAACAAAAAAAATCATTATTTTACTTCTCTAGAACTGGGTTCTTTTGAGGGGATCGATGGGTCAAGGGCACGACCACTAGGTTCTCTGGTGCTTGGCTGTTTAAAATATCATCAAAAGTGAGAATAACCGAGTTGCCCAGATTATAAAACAACTAACCTCTTTTCCTGGAGCTGAGGGGGCTTTTCCTAAAGCACTTGCCTCCCGTGCACTTGGCTGTTTATAAAAAGTAGTTAGGAGAAAGTTGATCAGTGTTTAAATAATTACCTCTCTTCCTGGCGCAGAAACACCACCTGCAGTCTTTGAGGGTTCACGACTCGAGGGCTTAAAAACAAAAATTAGGTTGGGATATTGAGCAAAAAAATTATACTCACTTCCTGTTTGATGCCTGAAAGACCGCCAGTTTTTGAAGGGTCTCTAGCGCTCGCCTAAAAGTTTTAAATAAAGTTTAACATTGGAGTTGGTTAGAATCAATTTTACCTCTCTTCCTGGCGCCGAGACACCTCCTGCAGTTTGAGAAGGGTCCCGCATTGAGGCCTGTGATAAAAAAGAGTAAGTCGAAACTGGTA